ACAGTGATTAAGTGTTCGATTGCTAACCAAAAGGTCAGCAGTTTGAATCTACCAGCTGCTCCTTGGAAACCTTATGGTTCTGGGGCAGTTCTACTCTGTCTTAAAGGGTCGCTATGAGTAGGAATAGATTCCATGGCAATGGGAAGGGATTGCCAAGGAGCCCTGCTTGCACAACAGTTAAGTGCCCGACTGCTAACCCAAAGGTTGGCTGTTCGAACCCACCCAGCATCTCTGCAGGAGAAAGACCTGGCCGTCTGCTTCCATAAAGATCACAGCCTAGAAAACCCCATGGGGCAGTTCTCCTCTGTCATATGGGGTCACGATGAGTGGAAAATCCACTCTTCGGCACCCAACAAGGGATTGCCAGGCTCTTCTTAGGACCGGGAAGCACTTCCCACATTTTGCTCCCCTGCCCACCCCACCCCCCAATGACTGTGTCCCTGGAGGGGAGGTTGTTCAGAAGCTTCCTGGGGCCTTCAACACATTTGTCCAGCTGGGTTGATTTAAGGGCTGTTTCCAGGTTATCTCCCCCTGGAAAACTCATTGAATTCCGGTGAACAAAATCAGAGGCGCAGCTAGGGGTGTCTACACTGTGTATGTTGATTTTTGGTTTTTCACCCATCCTCATGATCCAGGTACGGTTACTCAGGTGGGACAATGAGTTCTTTTTGTTTTCCTTTTTCTTTTCATTGAAGTATAATTTACACACAGTGAAATTTTGCACAGGTCTTAACTAGCAGATCTTAAGTTTTGACAAATGCACATATCTATATATCTGTATTCCACCACCCCAGAAGGTTCCTTCGTGCCCCTTCTTAGTCAGCACCCCATTGCCCCTAAGGGGACTTTTTCTATCTCCAAAGCTGAGTTTTGCCAGTTCTAGACTTTCCTGTAAATGTAATCACACAGCATGAACTTTGTGGCCTTCTTTCTCCCAACATGGTGTTCTTGAGATTCATTGAGGCTGCTGCATCTAGCAGCGGGCTATGTGAGTTTAAATAGGACCCACGATGTCACTAAAAGCATGACAGTGTTAGACAGGGGAAATGGTTCTGCCTGTTCTCCTCCAGGCCAGATACTCACCATCCTGCTAAGTGGCCCCTTCTGCAGGCTCCTTTCCCAGAGCAGCCAGCAGCCTCTGGCACCACCCAGATGGCCGAGAGGCCTGTCACCTCAGTCTCCGCGCCCTGAACAGCTGCCCTCCTCCCCATTAAAATGCCAAAACGGGACCCTCCGCCAATCCAGAATTTAGATTCGCTTAATTCTGCACACAACTGTGTGGTGTTTTTGTGTTGATCACAGATATCCAGAGCCCTTAAGAAAACGTAAAAACACGAAAGGTGGGGAGAAAACCCAGATCTCACGGGCAGGGGGTATAAGCCTCTGTTGAGCCAGGATTCAGAATGAAATCTTTTCTCTTTTTTAAATAAACGGAAGAGTCACTCTCGGCTCCTCGCTCGAAAGGTTTCAAAGGTCGTCACACTGAAGCCCGGGGGCGGTCATCTCCCTAGCGGCCAGGAGAAGGGAGGAGGTTGGAGCGAGGAGGGAGGGAGCACACAAAAGCGAGCAGTGCTGAGAGGGCTAATGTTTCCTGTTTGCCTGGCGCCCCCTCCCCCGCCTCCCCTCCCTCGAGCCCCCTCCCAGCACTCCGGCGGAAGTGAGTTTGCTCCTTTGGAGATTAAAAGGATTCCGAATTCCGATCAGTCCCAATAATCGGCGTACTGAGAAGGAGGAGGCGGCGAAGGAGGAAGAGGCGGCAAAGCAGAGAAAGAGGAGGTGCGCGCGCGCGCATGCACGCAGCCCGAATTGGGGGTGTTGTTAAAGCCCCAGGAGACCAGGGCACCGCGTGAGCGAAGGGCGGTAGGCGCAGCGCGGTCGGGGCCACCCGAGTCCCGCTCCGCGACTCTTTCCAGAAGGAAGATGACGCGGGCGCTGGCCGGCAGCGTTGGCCACGCGGCTCCCGAGCTCGGCGCGCCGGGCCGTTGCTGATTCCACTGATTCCAGCGCGCCCGGGAGGAGGCTCCGTCCCCGCGGCTCGGGATCGGAGGGGGGACCAAGGCGAGGGCGAAATGGCCCGATGACAAAGGAAATGTGATCCCTCTTCGCTGCCAAGGTTTCAGAGAGGACGGACTTGAGGAGGAGGAGGAGGGGCGCGGGGCGCGCGGCGCACGCGGAGCTCGGATAGCATTGCACGACGGCCCGCGCGGAGCGGGTACATCTAATATCTTCCTGCCGATGAATAATTCAAGGCGGCCCGCGGGGACCTGCGGCCCCGCGCTACGGCGCGGCTAAGCCGGAGGGAAGGAGCGCACAGGAGGCGCCTGGCCGGGTGAGGCGGGGACGCCAGGGCCCCGGCCGCGTGGGGCGCGCGTGCGTGTTAAACGCGGCGGCGGCGG